GGGGGGGGGAGGGGAAGGGAGACGTTGCCACTGAGTGGGTTATTGGGTCATCCCTGAGGGAAAGGCCAGCAGATAGATAAATCACGCCGGACTGGGTGTGTTTGCGAGAATGAGGATAGAAAAGCAGCCACGGCGGCGGGGCGGTGTGAGCAAAAGGAATGGTGGCCACGACATGGTTGACAGAAGCGGGTCAAAAAGTAAAATAGGGGGCGGGAATGAGGAGCTGCGGGAAAACAACCCGAGCACTCCCGTCCCGTGCGACCTGGGCTGCTGGGAGGGAGGGGGAGTGAAGCGCCGAGCGGTAGGCAACGCGAGCGCAGGGCTGTCACCTGGGTGGCCTACCGGGGACTACGCGGGCGCGCCAAGCGGATGGGACAAGCAGGTGCAGCACAGAAGGCCGACTGGGTGGAACAATTATTCTTATATAAAATAGCCCAAACGTACAATGCGGGGGAAACAAATAAAAAAAATGTGTCTGGCAAGAAAATAATATTATTCTGCTTCAATTTACCTTTTTTAAAAAGGGGCATGAGGCATGCTGCTCGTGTACGCTGCTTTGAGAAGTAATGCTCGTTGGGTGAGGCTTTCAGCCCTCCGCTCACTCTGCTGTATCGTAAATGCCGTCAGCACGGCGGGCGAGGGAGGTGGCGCCTAACAATCCAAATAATTGTCCTCCCGCCAAACAATGGCGAATCAAGTAATGCCTTTCAGCTTCGCAGCTCCCGGGCCGGGTGGGCCTGCTCCCCCTTGCACCGCTCATGCTGCACAGCAATACAAATCACCCCCCCCCCTCCCCTCCCACTCACCCTCCTGATGCCAGGTACCCCATTGTCCCCGTAAGATTGCCGCCCCCTCCCGAAATGCAATTGTCCCCTCCGCGCTGTTTTCTGTGCCAACAGCTTCCAGGACGGGGCGTGGTGGTGCACACCATGGCGTGGCGCCGGAGTGTGGCCGCTCTCTCCTCCTGGCCAGTTTGCCCCTCACAATGACCGAGTACCCGGCGACCGCGCCAACTTTTAATTATTTTTGACTCGCAGCGCCCGGCGCCGCTCCACTTTAAGGTCACTTGGTCGCTCTCTGAGCCGGCCCCGGGGGTCCGGAGAGCAGAGTGTTGCAGCGCCGCCCCCCGCGCCGCCCCCGCAACCCGCCGCGCCTCCCTCGGTAAACTCATCAGTCGCGTAAAGCTGAAACGCTTTGCATGCTCGCCAGCTGTCTGGCTGCCCTGGTAACGCGGAGAGTTGTTGAGATGTTCCCGGGAGCGGCGAGACGAGGCTCACGTACAGCTCCGCGGAAGGCTCGTGGTGCGACGCGGAACAGGCGACGGCTGCCGCCGGCGGCGGTGACGGCATAGCGGGGGATGCTAAACACGGTGTTATTTAGCGGTAGACAGAAAAAAGATAAAACGAAAGAAGCACCTGCTTGCTCTCGACAAATGGCATAATCATCATCGTACGACGTACGACCCCTTAAAGAGGAGTTACATAATACGATGACCCGCCCTCGCACCTCTATAGTGCACTCAGGAGAGATAGACAGGTGCGCGCGCGCGCACACACACGCACGCGGACGCACACACGCACACGCACGCACACACGCACACGCACACAGGTGCGGCGGGGCGTTAACCGTTTTACAGCCCAGCCGCTGGCACCCAGTCCCAGCCGGTCGTCGCCGAGGTCCTCGCGGCGCCGCCCAGAGTGCTCGTCCCGGCCGCGCATGTCGACCCCGCGCGCGTGCGGGTGCGCGGGTCGTCGGCCGCCGTCGGCCGCCGTCGGCAGAGCCGCACCCAGAAGTACGATAAAATAAACAAGTAGTCAATCACAACGCGCGACGCATTTTTGTGGCTTATCTGATAGAGGACGTGAGTGGTACTCGACCTCGCCTATGGTACGCGACAACGTAGAGAGGCCTGCGCCACCCGCGACGAAGAATCGTAGTTAACCTTCGATCGATCGCCGAACTGCTGCAAGAAATGAGATAGCTTCTTCTGCGGAAGGGGATTCAGCCGCCCGATCAGGTTTCCTCCAACCTCGCACGACCACTGCCCTCCCCGTCACCCTTTTGTCGCACCAACACACACTACTCGGTGACGGTGTGCGGGATTGCGAGCTTGTGGTCCGCCGCCTTGTAGTGCCGTGCACAAGCTCGACACCACCACCACCCGCACCCGGCCGCACCCGGCAGTCTGACGGCTGAAAAGGGCACACTGCCCCCCCCCCCCCCCCCCCCCCCTACCAACGCGCGCGCGCATCGTGAGCTCCGGAAACGAAGCCAATCAGCGACTTGAAGGCGCTCGGCTTGCGCTGGCCCTCCCCGTGCCCCTTGTCACCTAGACCAGCCCCAGGAAGGGGAGAGTGGGCAGGGGGCTGGGGCTCAACGAGGCCGCGGGCGGGAGGACGCCGCCGGCGCCTGTCGTCCTAGTTGACCGGCCGGGGCGGGGAGGTGTTCCACAGCGCCTTACCCCGCCGCGCCCCGCCCCGTCACCCCCCCTGGAGCAGCCAGAGTGACGAGAAGGCCAACGAACGCCGGCGACGATAAAAGTTTCCCGGGCTCCGTGTTTATTCCCAAGCGCCGATACATAAAAGGGGCGGAGTGCCTTCCTCCGGTCGCCCCGCGACTCATCCCTACTGCGGCTACCTGGAACACCCTGCAGGACAACGGACAACCACCCCTACCACCGCCCTGCCCGCGGCTAGTCCCTTTAGTGGTTGCCTGCCTGGAACACCCTGCCGGACAACACCCCCACCATCGCCCTGCCCGCGGCTACCTGCCTGGAACACCCTGGACAACACCCCTACAACCGTCTCGTCTCCTCCTGAAGCGACACCCTCGGCACCACAACACATTTTATTAATGTTGCCCGTGCTCTAAAGCAATGTAACGAAGTCGAATCAATTTTTTTCGAGGCAGATTCTTGTACTAACGGCCAGGAGTGCAAGCGGCGAAGGCAAGCGGAAGGCGTCTTCGGATATGCAGAGAATTAGGTGCATCGGGATGGAACCATCGCACTACTTCCGGGCGGAATAGAGAAGCAGCAAGAAACCGGAAGCTGTGCGCCCTTGAGAGCGGCCGGCGGCGCGCCCTGCATTTGGGCCGGCGGGCGCTTGAGGCGGCGGGGCCGGGCAGCGAGCGGGGGTGCGGAACACAGCTCATTAAAATGCTTGCAAAACTTGGGGCGCGCGGCGCGGCCGCCCAGCCTGATCAGAGGCTAGTGTCGGCTGCCACAATTTTCAGTTTCTCGGCGCTCTGTTTCGTGCTTTGTTTCTTGTTCGCAAGCCCCCTCCCCCCTCCCCTCCCACTCACCGCGGTTCGCTCCCGCCCCTTGCAGCCGCCGCCACCCCTGCCTCTCTGCCGCGTTCCTACCCCATTCCTTTCCACTCTGGCTCCTTTTTCGATTTTGGGTTCTCTTGCCGGAGCGGCGTTATTCGAGAGTTGGTAATTACACAAGTTGCGATCCGGTCCGGTCGGAGTCGATTGAGAAACAAGCGGGGCGAGGGGTTGGGGGGGGGGGGCACTGGTGGTGTGAGGGCGCGGAGGGAGGCCGCCCGTCAGACGGACAGGGAAGAAAGTTATTTAACGCCGTAGGCAAAGTAGGGGTAAATACCGCACCCCCTAATCCCCCCCCCCCAACCGCTCACTGATAACTATTGTTAAAACAATAAAATTCTTTCAAAAGGGCAATTTTATCCAAGATTGACAAGTTCTACGGATACATTTTCGGTGATGATCTACGTTTTTGGCAAGCATTAGATCATCTTTTTTTGGCAAACAAAAGCCCACAGCGCCACACCGATATTCCACAGCGCTACCCCCAGCTCCAGACAGGAACGCGGGGTAGTGGCAGGCTCTTGGCCGTGGCTCACCCCTGGGGAGTATCGCCGCCATCCCTCCAGAAAGGGCTCACCTTCTCGCATTCGTACTCGAGGGGGAGGGGGTGGGGGCGTAAATACCGTGACGATTTACTAAACCTAAATGTGATCTCTCCGTTTAGTCACTGAGAGACATAACAGAACTCTCGGACCGGCAAATTTCGGGTGCAGAGCCCAAAATGTTTTGTGCTTTGTTTACCTTTTGGCACTCAAAACACACACATTTTGGGGACTGTGCGAGACCGGGACTGAAAGTCACACAGTGCGAGGAGCGCTCGCATGGTCATTCCTACACACCCCTTCACCAAATTTGTATTTCTGGTCGACAGATACGATAAGTTTCAACGCAGAAGGGAAAGCACACGGGAACAAATGCACATCACTGACGCACCTTACTGGACAAGAAGACACTGCAGAGAAGACACGAAGACAGCGAAGAAAATACAACTAACAGAAAGTAATAATAATAAATATTTTGCTCGGAACACGCAAACGTAGCGGACGTATCGGACGACACTGAACGCGACGGTGACAAACCTCACGCACCGCTCGTGCCGGGTCAACTGGCCAGCTGACCGGCCGGCAGGACGTCTCTCTCTCTCGCACACCGACGCGCGCAGCCCGTCGTCTGCTGCCTGCGGTGCAGCTGGAGATTTGATACCGTGTGATAACGGAAAAGTCGAAATCATGCGAGCAGCGGCGTGTGCCGGAAAATTTGAAATTACAAGAAGGCGGGCATGGGTGTGGCATTTCATGCCGGTTTCTGTTTTTACTGCTCGGGTCACTGCAGAACTGGGAAGCAAGATGCTGGGGGAGCAATAATTACGCATAATACGTGCTCAATACAGGAAAAAATTTCTTAAAACATAATAATTGAATACACAAATAAAAGAGTGGCGTGCATCCCGTGCGCGCGCTAGCGTTCCAGCCGTTCCAGGAGCGCAACTACCCCCTGCACTTGCACGGGGTATCGACCGGACGTGAGCGCTTGTAGCCCGCCGTAAGAGGGCGCCAGCGACACGGTTTGCACGACCTCCCTGTTTGTGCCTACCCACCATGACCCTGTTAGTAGCCAAACAGTTGTAGCTACAACTACAACCGTCACGGCCACGGGCAGCTTCACGCGAACCGACTGCAGGTCAAAGAGAAGAAAGTGTAACAGGAAAGTCAGCTCGGCGCCCCGTGCCGTAAACTCTCACACGTCCCTGTTTGTAGCTACAGGATTGTACGTCCCTACTTGTGGCCACAAAATTGTGGCCACAAACCCGGCGGCCAGAGTCAGCTTAATCCGACCCGACTATAGAACACCAATATTCGGGTAAAATGAAATCCAAAGCCTTCAGGAAGTAACCAGAAGGTAAGCACATGCTCTGCACATAGTCCGTAATGAGCCGAAAGGCCCCGGATGCGTAAAAACCAGCGCAATGGGGCCCAGGGGGGCCCAAACACGAAGAGCAGCTTTTAAAAGGATTGCCTACCCTCCAGGCGCTCTCAGCCACAACTCATCCCAGGGTCACC